ATCTAGCCTTAGCAATCCCAGGGAAGTGCTAAAGTTCCATGACTTAAGGATCCTCATGTCAAGTCATACAACTGTAATCCAGGTTAACATTTGGAAAACACTTCTAACCACAGCTAATATTCTAAATAAAGAAAGAGTAAAGACTAAACGAGGGCCTTAAAAAGTAGAAAACAACACAGTGAAGATTAGCATAGAATCTATATGAAATAACAAATAAATTTAAAATGTATTTCCTTAAAAGTAAAGACTGAATGGCACACAGCTACTTTGCTGTCTAAGTTTATTTCAACAATATTCACCAGTCAGTTTTCACATCCTGCATGGAGCTGGTATCTGGTGAGAAGGGGAGAAGGGAGGCTGCAAACACAGGCAGTCATAAGTACACATAAATGAGGAAACACCCTCTATCCAGCTACTTAGAGCTAATGTAAAGGGAGCAGGGAAAGTAGAGCAGTTTGGAATCCAGATGAAAAACCTCAAAGTAGCAATGGTTCAATGAGATATAATGCTAAATATTTACATAAAGACTGATAATACTTCATCTAAAACAAGGAGAAAGGAAAGCTCTTTTATATGCTATGATGCCTATTGTTCAGGCAAAGCCCCTCTTCCGAGCATATTAACACAGGTCAGGGTTCATTATTGGTCTCATGTTATGTTTAAAACAGTAATATATCACGTTCAATGTGCTATAGCCAGTTATTTTTAATTCAGTTCCGCCCTAAAACTCTAGATAAATTTGAGGCGAAAACAGTGATTGTACCATATTACCTATTTCTGCTGAATAAATATTAATTCTGTTAATAAATACTATTGCCATAAATAGAAAAAGGTCTGTACTCAGAAACCACTTGGAGATTGTGTTTCAAAGTTGAAACAGACTTAAAGCTTATATATTTGAACCAAATAAAATAGACTTCATTCTATTTAGATGCCAAATGAGTCACTGTCTCTTAATGTATAGAGAACATCGTTCAGCTAAAATTCTTGTTAGGAACTCAAACCCCAATATATTTTAGTATGTCATGAAAATCCTGACCTCAGTATTAAAGGGGAAAAGAATAATCTATTCCACAAATATATTTTTTAAAAAATTATTCTTAATGACATTTCAATCTGGGTGACTGCCTATAATTTGAGAAAAATTGTGCTTCTACAAGCAGCAAAATTTAATGTTTTCATTCAGACTGAACCATGCTGGATCCAACCTCGGTGAACGAAGTAGGTAGATTTGTGTAGCACGGCCAGAGTGGACTGGAGATGGCCGCTACCCTAAGCTTAAATATAGCTGGTTTTTCTACAGTTCAACACAACTTGTTAAAATTTGGGGGAAAAGAAGAAGACTAAAATAACTGCCAAGGCAATACTTCAGTCTCGATATTAGGCTGACACCGTTATTAGTAAGGCAAGATTCAAGGTATGAAGACTCTGGGCATTTGTTTTCCCTATTTGCAATTCCATCTCAAAGGTCCATATCATACCTTGTAAACTGCCCAGGTACAAATATAAATGGCATACAGGACAGGGCTTGTACTCAGAGGAGAGTCAAATGGGCGAGGAGTACCGTAGCCATGGCCCCACTTCCATATCTCCAAAAGTTGTTTTGTTCTCAGCAAGATATGAAGGGAAGGCTTAAATTTTTCACTTACATTTTACTACATTTCATGGAGGAAATATTGCAAGGTGAACTTTATAAATCTGGGTATCCACGAAAGATTCAGGAAGTACTCCTGATGAATGTCATGAGTCTCCTCTATACTAAGATATTCCAGAAATTATAGAAAGAAAATTTCTCAGGTAGTATCTTCTATTTATGACTCCAAACTTAAAGAATGAAGTACTGTGTTACTAAAAATTAGGAACGATGGGATAGGAAATTGAGCTCTAAATTTTCACAGAAGGAGATACCTGTAATTACTACATAGTTCAAAAGGAAGACTCCAAATTGAATGAAACAAATAATCTTAATATCCTGAAAATGTAGGGCTGAGATTCTGCAAGCCACTTAACCCCTCTGTTATAGACTGAATTGTGCCCTCCAAAAAGATATGCTGAAGTTCTTATCCCTGTACCTGTGAATGTGACCTTGTTTGGGGAAATAGTCTTTCCTTGAAGGATGTTATCAGTTATGTCATAAGAGAGCAGGGTGGGTCCTAAAATAATCCCTTCTGAGTAGTATTTTATAAAAGAACAGACAAGGAAGTAGAGTCACACACAGGAAAGACACTACGTGAGGATCTGTCTACACGCCAAGGAATGCCAAGATATGCCCAGGACTACTGGAAGCTGAAAGAGACAAGAAAGGGTCTCCCCCTAGAACAGACAGAGAGAGAGAGAGCATAGCCCTGCCACTACCCTGAATTTGAACTCTTAACTTCCAGAACTGTGAGAAAATAAATTTCTGTTCTTCAAAGCCATTCACTTTGTAGTATTTTGTTATGGCAGCCCTAGCAACTATGATACCCTTCATCATAAGATCTGAAATTCTAGTCTAGCATACTAAAAGAATAGGTGAAACTAAGAAGCCTTAGGGGGCACTGAGTAGAGGTCAAATTTCCCTGAAAATCATTGGCCGCCTCATCTCTGCCGCTTTTATCTGTATTGCTTAGAGACCCACAGGGCTACTCTTAAAGAGTCTTACAGGGTGAGCACTCAGACGCACTTTCCTCTGTGTGGAGTTAAGATGAAAGGCAGGGACAAGTACACATCCAAGAAATAATTTCTAAAACTCAGGGAGTTCCATCTGGAAAAAAAGAGTTATGCATTCTCTAGCACCGAAAGCTGCTCACATCAAAAGACGTAGTTAGCTACAAAAAAAAATATTTTCACTTTTGGAGGTCACTATGTTCAGCAACAAGCTTTAGTTTCTGTTGTAGAAATTAAAGTCAACATGAAATAGAAATACATTCTCCTATTTTATTATATGGAATAGTGAATAAAGGAAATAACACAAAAACAATTTCACTTGTGAAAGCCTGCTGATTGTTCTGGAGAGAAAGAAAATAGCACTGAGGAGAAAAAAAAAAGATCCTTCTCTAAACAAATGGCTTCCTAAGTTCATCTTTCAAAATGTGGGCCAAACCATGAATTCCAGTTAACACACACCTCGGAAAGAGCCAAGTTTGGAATGTGTAGAACAAAGAATTTATTCAGAGATCTCTTGGATGTCTTCCTCCTCAAAAATAATGAAAGCTACAAGACTCCAGATGGGAATGTGGCCACTTTGGAAGAGGAATCTTATTGAGATAAAGAGCAAGGCTCTGTCAATAAATATCTGGGATTAAATGAAGAATTTTAGGAAGACAACTAGGTTTTTTGGGGGGGAGGAGGGTTGTTTGTTTTTACTAAATTTTTTCTAAATGGTATCCTAGTATTCTGAAATGGTTAAGAGACAATGTTTTACACAATAGTTCAAAAGTTAGACTACGATAAAAGACTTTCTAGTGAAGTTTTAAAAACATCTAGCTTTCTGCTCCCAAACTGAAGCAAAGACTATTTATGTGTATCATCTGGGAACCATTTTTCCCTGGCACCCTGTTCTGGCTAGACTGGGTTCCTACTGCTCTGATGAATCAGGGTCACGTTTTGGCTACCAGAGGAATCTTCCTTCTACCCACCACAGCTCCTGGAACAGAGACGTCTCCCAATTCTCAGGACTTCCAGCCCCTTTCCAGTGAGGGGGCCACAAAAACATGCTGAGACATAATCAAGAAAAGAGAAAGTAATGGGGAGAGGCCAGTGGAGGGACAGAAAGAAGTTGGCTTCTTCTAGCAGGTGACTAGCAAGCTACTCAATTAAACCGTCTCCTCCATTAACTTAGGTAATGTGAGGCTAACTAAACTCATAGTGGGATCCCTGGGTGGTGCAAATGGTTAAGTGCTCAAATACTGAAAGGTTGGCAGTTCAAACCTACCCTGGGGGCCCTTGGAAGACAAGCCTGGCGATCTGCTTCCAGAAGGTCCCAGTGACTAAAAACCCTATGGAGCAGTTCTGATCGGCACACACGGGGTTCACCATGAGTCAGAATCGATTTGATGGTAACTAACAACAAGAAACTTATAGTGCAATTTTAAAAAATCTTACATTCAATTTTTAATTCATATTTTAAAAGTACTTAATCTAGTTTAAATAAAGCTGTTGTAAACACAAAGTTACAGGAGGAAGGATTGGAACTAAGAGCAAAGTTAATAAACACAAAAGGTCTATTTGCTTCTACCAGCCAAATACAGACCTGGATTCTAGTTCAAAGTGCTGCACTGTACTTCACAGTAAATTCCAGAAAAAGAAATGATAGCACATCCTTGTAAATACAGAGCTAACCAGTTATCATTTGTAAGGGATTCCACTATGACTTACAATTTACTAACAAATCCTGGGTTTCTTACTTTCTGGGTTCCCTCCATCCCCCTCCCATTTGCTAATTTTACTCAGGACTGAATGTTTTAACATATGCCTTTGTGACGCCTTCTCCCTACTATTTTCTTCGACTTTCAGAGCAGTGGAAAAAATGTATGTGTTATACTTCGCTTTCCTTTCTCACAATCCTTTACCAACAAAGTGACACAAACACAGTTCTTCAACCAAACACCTGCGTTCAGTTGCTACTATCACATCACTTGTCCCAAAAAGACAGACTGTCAAAGATGATACTATGGTCATTACCACCTCAAAGAGTGTACCCAGTCCTAATCCATGCTGTGCCCAGTACTAATCCACGGAACTGCTAAGTGTGCAGTGAAGATTTCTGTTGATACTGCATGGAAATCTAAGAGCAAAGCACAAATACCATTGCACAGAGCTGAATGCTTTTCTGGAATATATCCCCCTTTATTTGATGGCTTTAGAATGCTACCATGCTTTGAAAGCCACTAGTGCATACATCACAGTTTCAATTCTTGATTTCTAGTAAAACAGAAGAAGACCTAAAGCTAGTGCTTATGGGTCTGGTTTTAATTCATTTTGGGCACAGATTTAGAGCAAACCTTTGAAGGGCAACTCACCGCCTCTCCAGCGGACGCCCGTCACTGGAGATGCTTCGAGGAATGTTGGCCGCTCTTTCGGGAGGAGGCATCTTCCCATCCCCCTTTCCAGCATTCAGCCGAGAGGTCATGGGACTCTGTACCTGGGATGGGACTTGAGGCGAATGAGTCCCCTTACTGGCATTCCTCTGCCATTTATTGTTATTTCGGAAAGGAAATTTGAATTCGTATGAAATCCCTTCATTCATTTTGTACTCCATCACTGGCATGCGGTAGGTTTCAGAGCAACTCCTGTTAAGCGGAGGGCACAGGGAGAGGAAAAATTAATACTGCTTTTTCTGGTTGGTGGAACCACACTGATTCTCATTAACAGTTGAAATGGATCAAAAAATTCATCCTCTGTTTTAAACCATCTTTCAGTCATTGGGCACTGTAATTATTTTCCTTTCAAAAAACAACCCCCAGGAAATATTACAGTAGTATTTTCCTTTACTCAATCCTAATTGTTGAGTCTGAGATACGGAGTCTTTGAAAAAACAAGGAGACACAGTCACCCTGTGGAGCCAGAGTGGGTACTGAAACCCGAGGCGGAAAGGCCGCCATGATGGTACATAGGGGAGCAGACCCCTGAGCACAGGGCCTCACAGAAAGAAAGCAGTCAGCTTTGCACACCCTTCATTGTGTATTAGGGTCAGGGATTTAAAAGGGGGTACAGTTTTGAATTTGTTGGAACACCTCCTGATAGTCAAAATGGGGCGAAATCTTGGAATTCAAATTGAGAGCCAAGTTTAGCACAGGAAAAAAGAAAATGCCAATTATAGAAATACTGCAGTTATCAAATCTCTACGGAACAAGCATAATCTGAAACCAGACTTCTTTTTTCAAAGTCAGAAATCTCCCAGTAGCAGGGCTGCCCCGACGCAGCAGCCTGAGAGAAGTAAAGGGCAGACATTAACGTCTTCTGTCATGTTAGTCCGCCATTTTTGTGCAGGTATCCCAATCCTCATCCTTAGGAAATCTGTAACCCACTTTCTATTCTCTTCATCCAAACAACCAGGGAAAGTTCTACCAGTTATTAACTTGGTTGACAGACAATTACTGAAAGAAATCTACTCTCACTAAAGCATTAACTCCAACTGTGTATTCAAATTTCATAAAGTGAAAAAAATATTTTTCTGAGAGGAATTTCAAGAATTGGGAAGCAGGTGAGAAAATCTGGAAAGGAGGGCTTAACAGTGATTATGAAATAAATAGCCCTTTAAGAGGCACTATAGGAGCCTTGGTGGTGCAGGGGTTAAAAGTGCTCAGCTGCTAACCAAAAGGTGGGCAGTTCAAACCCAGCAGCCGTTCCATGGAGAAAAAGATGTGGTAGTCTGCTTCCATAAAGATTTACAGCCTTGGAAACCCTATGGGGCAGTTCTATTCTGTCTTATAGGGTTGGTATGAGTTGGAATCAGATTTTATCCAAAATATTATCATTTAATATGTAATCAACATTTAAAAAATTATTACTGAAATGTTTTACATTCCTTCTTCCATACAAAATGTTCTAAATCTAGTGTGTATTTTATATGTACAGCAGACCTCCACTGGGATTAGCCACATTACAAGTGTTTCATAGCCAGAGATGGCTCGTGGCTCCCATACTAGACAGTGCAGGTCAAAAAGGCATCCTCTCCTCCAGATCTCTCTGAGGAAAGGCAGGAAGAAGGGTAGCCAGCTGAAGGCCTCATTGGATGTAAGGTCTCATTGGATGTGGGAGTGCAGCTCAGGAGGAGGTGTGGCATGGCGGGGAGAGCACAATGGAAGGGCTTCTGCAGTTGGTTGATGGGAGAACATGCACTCTGGAAGGAGACACTCCTTCACGACACTGTCTATGCTTCTCAGGGTATGGCCCTGACGTTTCAAACATGTGCTCCACAATGCCTCCTCCTCCATGTTCATGATAGTCTAAGTGTTTGAAAGTGCTCTTTCGGAGCATGTGCTCAGGATGAACAGTAGTGTCAGCTGGGGCACTTGCCCTGCTCAGTCTTAGCCCCAGCCTCCGATGCGAACTATTCCTGGGGTTTCCCTACCACTCCTCTGACTCCCCAGAAGCCCAGATTAACCTTAACCTGGCACTCCACCCAAGGCTCCTCTGCACCCATTGTAAGCTTTAACGGCAGTGGCTTTCCAACTTTGTTGACCACAACCACTAGTAAAAAATACATTTTACACTGTGATAGAGTACAACAATACAGAGATCCTTGCCCTGATATTTTCTATTTTGTTATATTCTGTGTTATTCCATTTCATTTAAAAAAAAAAAATGGATGGAACTCCTTAAATTGATTTTATGACCGACTTTGGAGTTATGATCTGCAGATCGCAAAACACTGCTTTATGGCACGTTTGACATTACCTTTAGTAATTTCTAGCTTTGATACTGATATTTCTGACAAAAATATGCCCTTGGAACACATATTTTGTTAATAAGTGTATTACTGAAGTATGATCAGCAGTTTCCTATTTCCGAGTAATAGTTAAGCGCTCAACTACTAGCTGAACGTTTGATGGTTCAAACCCACCCAGAGGCGCCTTGAAAGACAGGCCTAGTGATCTCCTTCAGAAAGGTCACAGCCTTGAAAACCCTGTGGGGCAGTTCTCAGTTCTACTCTGTACACGTGGGGTTGCCATGAATTGGAACGGACTCAATGGCAACTAACAACAGCAATCACATTTCTGAGTAAAAACAGCACATTATATAGTATCTAGTGCTCTAGATCTTTAAGAACATTATACCAAAGGGATATTAATAAAAATTTGCAATAATCCATAGGAAGATTTCTCTCAGCTTCAGAATCAGGACTGGCTTTGCTTCTCTTCAGCAATGGTCTGTTTTAACTTATAAATTCAATGAATCATATCCTCTCTGCCCCTTTGTGTATGCTGCTAGGAGCCAGTAACATACACAGAACTTTAATATCGTGTATTTTGGGCAATAACTTTTCCAAAATGTTCCCCAAGACCATTTTTTCCCCTTCACTAATCCCCCTGCCCCCAACAGATTCCCTCAGTGATTATTCTGTGGTACTGTACATGTACCTTCAGAAGCTGCTTCAGGTCCATTCTGCATTAAGGCAGAGCATAAGTAAGTAAATAAGTAAGCAAATAAATGATGAAGATAGTAATAATGTAAACCAAATAGACAAGATGCTTTCATCTTTGGGCTTTAGTTTCTTTCTTTGTAAAATGAGAGATTTTGAATTTGTAATCACTAACGTTTCTTCTAGTTCAAACACTCCTTGAAATATTCTTCAAAGCTGCATAACATTTACTGATAAAACTGGTCAAAAGACCCCGTAGCCAAATACTTTGTATTCTCCATAGCCAATATTTCATTTCCACCACTCTTAATACATAACTAGAAACCTTCTGGTGTTTGAGGTTAACAGAATGTAGTTTGAGAAAGTCTAAGCAGGGAGAGATGATTCATTCGCAGGTAATGAAAAACAAAGACAGCTCCACTGAGCTAAACCTCAGCCATGGGGCCATTTCTGATTGCCTCCCACGGGGAGGGTAATCACCCTCTAGCGTTCTGATCTCTTGCTTATCTCTGCAGAATGTAAGAATGATATACGGAATTGAGAAGCACACAGTATACTGAAGAATAAAGATAAAAGCTGGCTTTTCATGCCACACATAAAAGTTCATAAAGGGATTTTTATTATATTATTCTAAGTAAAATTGGGTGTTAGCACAATAATTCTAATAGTTCTAGCTTACGATGGGCCAGACACTAATCTAGCTGTGTTACAACAACTCTAAAAAGTAAGTACTATCACAATCCCCATTTTAGAGATGAGGAAACAGAGGCCTAGAGAAATTAACATGCCCAAGGTTACACAGCTAGAAATGGGAGAATCGAGATTCAAACCTGGAGAATTAATCTACCCTGAAGGTTCAGTCACTAACTAAGGAATATTTCTACCCCAGACCCCCAAACTTCCCTTACCCTATAGTGACTACTGCATCTCACTCAGGGCATCGCTGATAGATACAGCTTCCTTGACAGAAAGGAAAACTTAGCAACTTTTAAAAAACCTAATTAAAGAGCTGCGAGTCAGAAAAGTCACAGGTTTGAGGAAGGCTCTGTCCTGCCAAGCCATGTGACTTTGGATTGGAAAAAAAACTATCTCTTTGAACCTAAATTCCTCACCTGAAAAAGTAAGAGATTATAACCAGATAATCTCTAACAGCCCTTCTAGCTAAAGTGGTGTGCTTTTGTACTTTAAAATACTTGTTTTTTTAAAATGAAGAAAAAAATCTCTGACTCATTTCTTACTTAAAAGAGAGGCAACTTGATCCTTTTATTTAACTTGGTTTCCACCTCCTCCTTTTGAATGACCCTTGATTGTTTTCTTTAAAAACTGTAGGCTAGTGGCCCTTAGCAGAATAAACGTGTCACTCCCATACAACACCATCCATCCAGAAAGTCGTGATTTAATGTTGCGGTATTTTTCATTATGCCAAGACAACCCATGTGGAAGATTCAGAGGTCAGAGACACCAATGTGTTAACTTTGGTCAAACACTCCAGAGCGGTCAGTGGGTGGGGGGTGAGGAGCCCGTCCCCCAGTCTGACATCTCATCCCCTCGGAGCTTTCTAGCGAAGCTGCAGGGAAGCATTAAAAGTTGTTTCTGCCAGGACTGCTTTGTCCTGGCAGATGGTTTTTTTTGCTCTTTGAGCAGTTACTCAACCTCTCCAAGCCTCATTCTTTTCATCATTTTAATGGAAATAAAGCTGCCAGGAAGATTCAATAAAAAGCCAGGCACATAGTGGGGCTCCGAAATTTTGTTTTCCTTCCTTGTCTCTTCTTCACATTAAGCATTTTTAATTTGGAAGCAGTCCCCAGAGGGGTCTGTTTATTCTCCAAGAACAGGGAAAAGGTCCTAATTTTACATTTGTTATTTAAGTAACATTTTTTGTTGTTGTTGTTAAACTGGCTTTTACAATAAAAAAAAAAAAAGAAAAACAAAAAACCTGGCTATTCAAAACTAATGACTCTCCCATATGCACACACAAATCCATAGGTGTCTATAATGACACACAATTGCCACAGCAGTGCCTGTGACCCATTCAGGACCCTGGCTACCTTGAGAACAGGCAGGCGGCTGTGAGGCGGCTGGGGCAGGCTGCCTCCTGGCCTATTCTGCCTCACACGGGAGCTGCACTAACAGCTGACAAAGGAACAAGAGAGTGACTAGTCAAAGAACAGAGTAATTAGTTGCTAGGAAAACAGCAGTGGGAATGTGAAGTGTGGAGGAAAAGAAAAAAATGACAGAGGAGTATTATCTTATTTTGTTGAAAATTGCAGCAAGGTGTTAATACCTCAACTGTTCCCTTTCAAGTTGTTTCTGAAGAGGGGAGGGGAGTGCAAGCTCTCAGCCCTCCAAAGGTATCAGTGGGACCATTTCCTACCTACCCAGAGGTCTACAGTGAGGGGTTTTTCAGGCAGAAACTGTTCCGGAGTGAAAGGGGTGGTGTGTGGCTCTGAGGGCCGGCGGCTTTGCAGGGCACTGGTTCTTCACCTCAGCCCTGTCCTACGTCCAAACGCAGCAGGTTCCCAACACCTGCTGTAATGTCACTGTCAGCTCCACTGGATAGGAGAAGATGGCAGTGCCTCAGAAGCACTGTTGGGAGATTAAGACCAATACAGCTCATTCATTCAGTGGTGTGCTGGAGCCGCCTTGTACTGGCTGGTGTGTGCATCTGTCCCAACTTTACATGTGATGTCTACAGCTTAAAATCAGACAGGGTAGGAGTACTCACACTTTGGAAATCAGCAAATGCTGCAAATCAAGGCTTCCCCACCAACCTCCCTCTGGTGGTTTTCTACCTTATCACTGCTTACGCTGTATGTAAGAAAAAGATTCCTACCCCAAGCATACAAGGTAGCAGTTAAGAGCATGGGTTCTGAAGTTAGACAGCCCTATAAAAAAACCAAAACCAAACCCACTGCCATCAAGTCGATTCTGACTCATAGCGACCCTACAGGACAGAGCAGAACTGCCCCCTAGGGTTTCAAAGGAGTGCCTGGGGGATTCGAACTGCCAACATTTTTATCAGCAGCCATAGCTCTTAACCACTACGCCACCAGGGTTTCCTAAAGAACAGAAACATTTTGATTATCATCACTACTTACTACTATATTAAGGCTACAAAGAACCAACCACAGCCGTTTACATGCTACCATGTGATGCTCATGAATCACGAGCGCTCAGGTGCAGGACTTGGTCATTTTGGTGGGAAAAATGGATAAAGAACATTGTCTTGGCTTGAGGGGGCCTAAGAACTGCCAAAGCTTACAAGAAATTCCTAGAAAATAATGGGTTCAAAGAACATTAACAGATTGAAAAAAACTAGCAAAAATAGCATTTGCCTACCCAAAGGAGAAAAAAAGCAGCTGATTAAACTTGTTCACTCACGAACCCTCCCCTAGAGACAGGGAAATTAAATTTGTTCACTCACGAACCCTCCCCTAGAGACAGGTAAATTAAATTTTAAACAGTCCTGTTGGCTTGGCAGAAGCTGAGAGGGGCCAGGAGGTCCTGGGCTTTCCCTCTGGGAAAAGGCTGGGAACCAAACAACCTAACCATCAGCAGCAGGACCAGCTCATCTGAAGCCAATTCTTAGCACATGGAGATGCAGTTAAGAAAAAGCTTGGTAAGTCAGGTTTGGCTCTCCAGGCGGAGATAACAGGGGCCAAAATAATACTTTGAGTTTTAGACAACAATTGGGTACAAATGGGAGATACAGAAGAATAAGAACATCGGAGAACATAAAAGAGAAAAATCTGGCAGTCTGAGATGCTGAGTGTCTTTCAATGTGAAGTGTTCAACGTCTCTCAGCTACTGGTGCAAGATGCTTACGATGACTATTACCAGACTCTTCTAACTATAACAGCAATGTTATGAATCCAGAGACGTAAATCCTGGGAATGGTCCAAGTAAGTCGTTCTTTCCAGCTGCTGCTACCACATGCTGAAAAAGAGCTGTGTCCTGAGTCAGACTTCCATGGATGGAACTTTGCAGCATCACATGTAATCTACTGCTCTTCACAACACCCTACTACTCTACCCACAAGGAAATGTTCTACATGGTACACAACCCTGCCCTGGAGTCCAAGGCTCACAGCTACCAACTCAGACCTACCTCCGTGGGGTGCAGTCATCATGGGGGGGGATAATGACCACCTTCACTGTGACGGATGTTCTCAGGAGATCGATCATCTGCTCATGGCTCAGAGTGGCCACTGCCACTTTGCAGATCTCCACCAGCCGGCTGCCCTGCCTCAGGCCTGCCTGCCAGGCATAGCCATAGGGCTCTACGTCAGCCACGATGCCTTCGTAGTTGACGTGGAAGCCAAGCTGTCCTAGCCCGTTCCTCCGCAGAGTCATCTCCACTGATTCACAACCTTTGGACACAAACTAGATAAGGGAACAAAAGATATCATGGCTTAATGCAATAGGGTATTAAACAGTGGACATGCAAGCAGAAAATTGCAAGCAGGGTTATTTCTGAATATCCTACTGCCAGCTGAAGAGCAGACTGGTTATTTACCCTTCACTGGTCTTTATTCATTAGGCCAAAAGGAAAGTACTCCTAGCATCCAGAGAGCTCAATGGCTCCTCTGGAGTTACAAGGAAAGTCTAATAAGAGACCTACGGGGAGCTGGCAGCAAAGAGAAATGGTATTCTGCTACTCATTTTGCCCTTAAAAACATTCAAAGAAGCAGGTATTCAATCAAATATCTCTTTTCAACAACTAAAGCAGACTGGTTGGGCTGCAACATCAGTCACCATGGCAGTGAAGTCATGTCACATGCAACTGGGTTTCCAACACAAACACTAGTAAATGTGTCTTCTCCCGCTTGTTCTGCTACTTCTTTTACAAAAAATAATGTTAAACACGAGTGTACAATAAACTCTGTTTCTTCACATCATCATGGGAGTGCTCAGATAAGCTAAGGAAAGAGTACAAGCTAAGTAACTTGGCTCTAGTCTGTATTGAAAGCTTAATGAAATGGAAATTGGATGTCGGTAAGTGGAAAGAAAAGACTCACCTGTAACCTTTTGACAATCTCTTTGATATCCTCATTGTTTATGAAACTCTCCACAGAAACACATTCTCCTCGCTCATAGAAGATTTTGAGGCTGGTGTCAGTTGAAGTCCACCCTATCACATCTCTGCAGGAGCAATTGAAAACCACGCTCTTTGTTTCCTGTTCAATGAGGACGATGAACTCATTGGAGATCCCCAAGAGACAGTCAATTTCCATAGCCTGGTCGTAGTCTTTGGCCCGGATTGCCCACACAATGGCACCCATGCTACTGAGCTCGGCTCCTGGATATGGCTTGGACTTCTCCTTCTTCTTGGAGGCCAAAGAGATGAACGGGAACTTGCCAGAAGGATCGATAGGGGTGTTGGTGACATTCTTTTCTGCCAGATCTTTCAGGTATTCTTGGCGGGTCCGAGTAGCCATGGCCCGGAACTTTTCTGATTTATGAGCAGCGTTTTCTGCATTAATCACTTTGGCCAAAAGGAAGTCCCTGAACACATTTGATTTAGGGAAAGTGACTCCTCTGGGGATGGGAGGCCCAAAGGAAGGCACATCTCTGGACCTGGTGACTGCCACACTAAGAAACAAAGAGAAAGAAGAGTGTCAATACTTGTTAGTCTCACAGCATAAGACTAAAACTGCACTTTTCAAAGACAAACACACACTCCAGAAGCAAAATTAAGTGTTCATTTTTTCCACAAGAAACAATACATATTCCTGTTTAACATGAGCACATTTTTCACCCAATCACATTTAAGATTTACAGAATACTAAATTCTGTGAGACCCAAAAGCCCAGAGCTTAAAATAAAAACTTTCTCATTAACAAACAGTAAACTAATCATGATAACTACATGGTGGGGGGGGGGTATTTATAGTAATAGTCTGCATAAAAGACATTCTAAATACCTACTGGTTATTTCCAAAGGGGGTACTATAAACACATTATCTTTCAGAACATGCTTACATTCAGTAAGAACACAAACGTATTTTACATTTGGATATGACGTCCTTAAAGCAGAATATTTATAATGAAAGTATAAAAGGTGCATGATGCAAAAGAAATGGATTAAATGTCTAATAAAATTAAAGATTATCTGTGGACTCGTGTGAGGCATTATGCAACCAGATAAAAGCATAATTTTAAAACTGGAATTTGAGTAATAAAATGATTTAATTTTTATAGTAAGTGTTTTAAAATCATATTGTTGAACTGAGTTATTCTTTGCTCCAAATTCTCTACTTTTAATATTTGATTCTGACAATTTATTTGTGAGAAAAATATTTTCCTTTCCCACTGCTTTTAAAAAAGATTGAGTTAAGAAAGTTTGTTCCAGTCATTTCTTCTCCATACGCACTGCTGAAAACAGGCCTAAGAAAAGGACCATATGAAATCTGTTAACAATGTACTATTTTTAATCTCAAAAGAAAAAAATAAAGTTTTCCCTAAGGCAACATCAGAAGTTAAATGGAAACAGAGGCTACGCATTTTACCTCATGTTCCGAGACCTCATTAGAAAACCTCAGTAAAGTGTGAGATGGCTGGAAACGATACACATCAAACATCCCTCTTTCCAAATTTTCTAATTATTGAAAAGATACCAATTATGCAACTGTACGAAGAATTAGGGAAGCAATACAAAATTTGTCTCCTCATTTACCTGCTCTCAACACCCAGAATAGGAAGGACATAATCAGAGAGTAGGTATCTTTCAAATTAAATTGAAGAATTCTGTTTCATTATTTTTTGAAGAAAAGTTTAAGATAATCAGCTTTGCTTTTCAAAAAATGATTATTTCTTGTGAAAATAGGATAAATAAATAAAAATCAGCACCTCAGGGTACCACGGTACAAATTATATTCTTGGTGAAATGTAAAAGTTACATTGTTACACTGTAAGAAGACATTATGGAATGGCCATTCATTGGTTTTCACAAGTTTATAAAAAATAAAATTTTTTTCAGAAGTTTATAAAAAATAAAAAAATGACCACCTAGTTTCACTTCATGACAAAGAAAAGTGTCAAGCAACACTCCATTTTCTAAGTGGAGAAGGTAATTCAGAGAAAACTCTGTATGCATTATGGCCTAATTATGCCAGTATAGAAGGCAATTTTCCTTCTCTACTGTGAACTGTCTGGCTTGAATGCTGACAGCTGTATAATTTTAATTTGATCATGTTATTATAAAAAAGAAAACAAAAAAAGCAAAAGATACTGGAATCCAGATTTGCTAGATTTTCTACAAGGAATCCTATAAGGATCCAGAAATATTTAATCATATCGTTCATTTGAAAATCAGCAATTTCTTCTCCTCTTGCCAGTTTCAGTTTCTCAGGAAACATGTGATTTTATTTGATATAAGGAAGGGGAAATGCCTAGCAGGAAATGTGATTATGAGTATCACCCAGGCATTTGACTCCTAAGTGCTTAAACTCAAAGGCTTCCTACATATGTATTTATTAAGTGATAGAACTTTAGACAAACATATACTGAAAACCCACCAATAATTAGAAGCCTCTAGAATGAACTGTGAGGACAAGAAATGAATTCTTAACATACAATCAATGATTCACCATGGTAGGGAGGTAAATGATACAGACACTAAAATCAGCTTTGCACCATTAGAAACAGAATTCTTATAGAAGAAGACAATGTCAAAGATGATACCCTAGAATGCTCTTTTCAAATAAAGGGCTTTGTTTTGGGTAACTCTAACTTTCAAGGTTTTCTACAAGGTTAAAAGCTCATTATTTTAGATGCCACAAATTCTGAACTCTTGATAATTAGGCCTGGTTTAAGCTAAGTAGAAAGAATATCTTTGCCTCCACAAGAGAATAAGCTTTTCTAGAATTTCAGTTTGCTATATGTAGATACTTAAGATGTACTAATTTTAAGTGTTTCATGCTATTTTTAAAAGCAGATTCCTAAGAGTCTCTGTTTGGGAAACTTATGTTACCCTACTTTATAACACTACATCTTCCTGGAAATAATACATTCTTTAAAATTACAGTTATGCCTCATTTAACCGAATTCTGTTGGATCACCTTTCTTGCAATGGGCACGAACATGGATGCCTCCCAGTTGCTTGGCCATATAGCTGTCTTCCAAATTTCTTGGCATAGATGAGTGAGCACGTCCAGCGTTGCATCCGTTTGTTGAAACATCTCAGTTGGTATTCCATCAATTCCTGCAGCCTTGTTTTACACCAATGCGTTCAGTGCAGCTCGGACTTCTTCCATCAGTACCATCAGTTCTTAATCATATGCTACCTCCTGAGATGGTTTAACATCGACCATTTCTTTTTGGTACAGTGACTGTGCATTCTTTCCATCTTCTTTTGATGCTTCTTGCGTCATTCAATTTTGTTCATACAATCCTTCAATATTGCAACTAGAGGCTTCAAATTTTTCTTCATTTCTTTCAGCTTGAGAAATGCCAAGCTTGTTCTTCTCTTTTGGTTTTCTAACTCCAAGTCTTTGCACATTTCATTATAATATTTTTCTTCGTCTTCTATAGTCGCCCTTTGAAATGTTCCATTCAGCTCTTTTACTTCATCATTTCTTCCATTTGCTTTAGCTACTATTCTACTTTCAAGAGCAAGTTTCAGAGCCTCTTCTGACATCCATTTTGGTCTTTTCTGTCTTTCCTGTCTTTTTAATGACCTTTTGCTTTCTTTATTTTTTTTATGGTTTCTATTTAACTTTATTTTTTCCCATACAAAATTTTATACATACATTCTTATGTGACCCTAATTGCTCACCCCATTCTGAAACAGCACACTCCTCCTTTCCACCGATTCCCCATGTCCATTCAACTAGCTCCTAGCACTCTCTGCCTTCCCATCTCACCTCCAGACAGAAGCTGCTCGTTTAGTCTCTTGTATCTACTAGAGCTAAGAGGCACACTCCTCACGAGTATCACTTTATGTCCCACAGTCCAGTCCACTCCCAGTCTGAAGAGTTTGCCTCGGAAACTGTTTTAGGTCTGGGCTGATACAGAATCCAGGGGCCATGCTCTCTGGGGTTCCTCCAGTCTCAGTCAGACCATTAAGTCTGATCTTCTTACTAGAATTTGAGTTCTGCACCCCACCCTTCTCCTGCTCCATCCAGGACTCTCTGTTGTGTTCCCTGTCAGAACAGTCATTGGTGGTAGCTGGGCACCATCTAGTTCTTCTGGTCTCAGGCTGATGAAGTCTCTGGTTTATGTGACCCTTTCTGTCTCTTGGGCTAATACTTTCCTTGTGCCTTTGACGTTCTTCATTCTGCTTTACTCCGGATGCTTGGGACCAATTGATGCATCTTAGATGGCCGCTTGCAAGCTTTTAAGACCCCAGCCGCCACTCACCAAAGTAGGATGCAGAACATTTTCTTAATAAGCTTTGTTATGCCAATTGACCTAAATGTCCCCTGAAAGCATGGTCCCCTTCTACTCTGTCCCTCAAAGTGTTTGATTGTATTCAAGAAACTTCTTAGCTTTGGTTTAGTCCAGTTGTTGACTTCCCCTGTGGTGCATGCTGTCCTTCCCCTCACCTAATTCTTATCTACTATCTAGTTAGTAAATAACCCTCCCTCTCCCACCCCACCCTCATAACCATCAAAGAATGTTTTCTTCTGTGTTTAAGCCTTTTCTTGAGTTCTTATACTAGTGGTCTTATACAATATTTGTCCTTCTGTGACTGACTAAATTCACTCAGCATAATGACCTCTAGATTCCTCCATGTTGTAAGATGTTTCATGGCTTCATTGTTGTTCTTTATCGTTGTATAGTGTTCCACTGTGTGGATATACCATAATTTGTTTATCCATTCATCCACTGATGGGCACCTAGGTTGTTCCCATCTTTTTGCTATTGTGAACAGTGCTGCAATGAACATGGGTGTGCACATATAGCTTTTATTTCTCTAGGATATATTCCAAGGAGTGGGATAGCTAGATTGTATAGTACTTCCATTTCTAGCTATTTAAGGAAGCGCCAAATTGATTTCCAAAATGATTGTTACATTTTACATTTCCACCAACAGTGTATAAGTGTTCCAGTCTCTCCACAACCACTCCAGCATTTATTATTTTGTGTTTTTTGGATTAATGCCAGCCTTGTTGGGGTGAGATGATATTTCATTGCAGTTTTGATCTGCATTTCTCTGATGGCTAATGATCATGAGCATTTCTTCATGTGTCTATTAGCCACCTGAATATCTTCTTTGGCGAAGTTCCTGTTCATATCCTTTGCCCATTTTTTAATTAGGTTATTTGTCTTTTTGTTGTCGAGGTTTTGTAGTATCTTGTAGATTTTAGAGATTATCTGCTGATCGGATTTGTCTAGCCAACAATTTTTTCCCAGTCTGTAGGTTCTTTTGACTCTTTTGGTGAAGTCTTTTGATGAGCGTAAGTGGTTGATTTTTAGGAGCTCCCAGTTACCTAGTCTCTCTTCTGGTGCTTGTGCACTGTTACTTATGGTTTGTACTGTGTTTATGCCATGTATTAGGGCTCCTAGCATTGTCCCTGTTTTTTCTTCCATGATCATTTTTTATTTCATATTTAAGTCTTTGATGCAATTTGAGTTAGTTTTTGTGCATGG